GTGTAATGTGCAGAGGTCAGGAGTGTGTAATGTGCAGGGGTTGAGTGTCGTCACCATAGAGATGTTATTGGAAGCCATGGGATGTGATCAGCTGACCCAGGGGGAGGTGTAGATGGAGAATAGAAGGGGCCCGAGGACAGAGCCTTGGGGGCCCCCACGGATAGAGGAGGGGAGGAGTTGTAGGTGACACTGAAGGTGCGCTGGAGACTCGTCATTCCAGAACATTCCCATCCGATGGATAAGAATCCCGGAATGTTATTCCTCTGAACCTCACACCCAGCTGGAGATCTACACACGGGGGGACACTGATCCATGTGACACCTGTGGCGGTGAGGGGACACTGATCCATGTGACACCTGTGGCGGTGAGGGGACACTGATCCATGTGACACCTGTGGCGGTGAGGGGACACTGATACATGTGACACCTGTGGCGGTGAGGGGACACTGATACATGTGACACCTGTGGCGGTGAGGGGACACTGATACATGTGACACCTGTGGCGGTGAGGGGGCACTGATCCATGTGACACCTGTGGCGGTGAGGGGACACTGATACATGTGACGCCTGTGGCGGGGACGGGATACTGATCCATGTGACACCTGTGGCGGTGAGGGATCACTGATCCATGTGACACCTGTGGCGGTGACGGGACACTGATCCATGTGACACCTGTGGCGGCGAGGGGACACTGTTGCATGTGACACCTGTGGCGGTGAGGGGATACTGATCCATGTGACACCTGTGGCGGCGAGGGGACACTGCTGCATGTGACACCTGTGGCGGTGAGGGGACACTGATCCATGTGACACCTGTGGCGGCGAAGGGACACTGTTGCATGTGACACCTGTGGCGGTGAGGGGACACTGCTGCATGTGACACCTGTAAAAGTAGATTGGTGGCTCCGGGTCACATGATTTGTTGGCTATTGGAGCAGAGCTATAGACTCCGCCCACTAGGAGCTCTGACCAGGTGAAGACATCACAGCAGAGAGAGATTTTCACTCACACTTTATTACTGAAAGATGCCACGGGGAGGGGGGAATTGTAGTCCCATTTACCCCCACAGGTCATATTGTACAGTAGAATGATCAGAGATGTGCTCCCCTCCCCCTACATCCGCCGTGGGATCTCCTAGGCCTGGAAGCGTGGCCAGGTCCTCAGTGTGTTGTAGAAGGTGTTTCCGGGGCACTCGGTGGCGGTGACATTGCGATGTCCCTTCAGGATGTACGTGGACCGGATGTAACCACGGGTGACGCCACAACTGATGAGGTTCTTGGCGGCATTCTGGGCGGCGGTGGTGGGATTAGAGCCTGAGGAATGGAGGAGAAGAATCAGAGACGAGGTGGGAGGAGCATAGAGACCACCAATGATGACCCTCCTCCATGGGGAGACCACGAATGGTGGCAGATCTTCTGATTTCCTGACTTACTTGTGAATGTTCCAATCAGGTTGATGCCAATGGAGTTGGAGTTGTAGTTGGGGGCGTGAGCTCCCACGGAGGTCCAACCACGGCCCTCGAATATGCTGCCATCTCCTCCAACCAGGAAGCTGCAGACAGAAAAGAAGGTCATTACCAGTCCTGGACACGCCTGTCTGCCCCCACGTGCCGGGTGTCACCAGTCCTGGACACGCCTGTCTGCCCCCACGTGCCGGGTGTCACCAGTCCTGGACACGCCTGTCTGCCCCCACGTGCCGGGTGTCACCAGTCCTGGACACGCCTGTCTGCCCCCACGTGCCGGGTGTCACCAGTCCTGGACACGCCTGTCTGCCCCCACGTGCCGGGTGTCACCAGTCCTGGACACGCCTGTCTGCCCCCACGTGCCGGGTGTCACCAGTCCTGGACACGCCTGTCTGCCCCCACGTGCCGGGTGTCACCAGTCCTGGACACGCCTGTCTGCCCCCACGTGCCGGGTGTCACCAGTCCTGGACACGCCTGTCTGCCCCCACGTGCCGGGTGTCACCAGTCCTGGACACGCCTGTCTGCCCCCACGTGCCGGGTGTCACCAGTCCTGGACACGCCTGTCTGCCCCCACGTGCCGGGTGTCACCAGTCCTGGACACG